CAAGAACCTGTGGTGAAACCATGATTGACTTGAGCTGCTCAAAAGCTAATGTAGCCTCGGAATCCCATTGAAACCCATCTTTCCTTGTGAGTTTGTACAAGGGTTGACATATATTCCCATAGCTTGGCACAAATTTCCTATAATAGCCCGTGAACCCCAAAAAACCCCTTAGCTCTTTCACATTCTTAGGTACATGCCAGACTTCTATAGTTTACAATTTGGAAGGGTCAGCAGCTACACCTTCATGAGATACGATGTGTCTCAAATACTCCACAAAAGCTTGTCCAAATGAGCATTTAGTTTGCTTGAGATAGAGATGGTTGTCTCTGAGGATTCCCAAGATAAGCTGCAAATGCATCAAGTGATCTGCCCAAGTCTTACTATAGATAAGAATATCATCAAAGAAGATTAACACAAATTGTCAAAGATATGGCTTGAACAAATCATTCATAAGACTCTGGAAAGTGGCTGGTGCATTGGTGAGGCTAAAAGGCATCACAAGGAACTCGTAATGGCCTTCATGAGTTTGAAAGGCTATTTTTTCCACATCTGTAGGGTTCATTAAAATCTGGTGGTAACTAGAGCGTAGATCCAACTTGGAAAAGTACCTTGCTCCATACAATTCATCCAAAAGGTCATCTATTAAAGGAATGGGATACTTATCCTTGAAAGTGAGTGAGTTAAGCTCCCTGTAATCTATGCACATTCTCCACGTGCCATCCTTCTTCTTTACCAACAAGACAGGAAATGAGAAGGGACTATGGCTCTTTCGAATGAATTCGGCATCAAGCAATTCCTAAATAGCCTTTTCAATTTTAGTTTTCTACAGTGGACCATAATGATATGGCCTAATATTGGGTGGTTTAGCTTCCTGCACTAATGAAATGTGATGATTATGTGTCCTGTGGGGTGGTAGCTTAATAGGTCGAAAAAAAACCTCTTCAAAGTCTTCTAACAACTTTTGTAGGTCATGAAGCTGTTCTCCACTTAAGTCACAAGCGGCAACATTCCCATTCTTTATAGAATAAAGAAACAGGCCTAAATTGGAGTTAATGATCTCCTTGTCTAAGTATTGTAATGACACTTCTAAAATAGTATGTGCATGAGGGACTTTGTGAGCTAATTTGTAAGTGTGATTGTCCCAAGTGAATTCCCTGGTGAGTAGTTGGAAATCCCACAACACAAGACTCACTGTGGATAACCATTGTACTCCCAATACCACATCACAACCTCCAAGTGGTAATGAGAACAAATCCATTGTGTAATTATACCCTCCCAAAGTAAGACTAGCATATGGACAACAACCAAAACTTCGAACCACTCCTCCATCTGCAATCATCACTTTAAAACACTTAGTAGGGAAGGTCTGATAATCCCATTGTTTGAGCAGCTTAGAGTCAATAAAATTGTGTGTGCTACCCAAGTCCAAGAGGATTGTAACATACTAGCCATTAAGCTGCCCTTCAATTTTCATAGTTTTGGAAGTCTGTCCCCCATTGGTGCCATAGAAGGCACAAACATTGAGCTCCATATTGTGTAATTCAGGAGGCACCTCACAAGCTGATAGGAGCACATTTATGCGACTTAGTTGGCTTGTTCTTGTGCATTTATGTCGTGTTTCCTTAGTTATTTTAATGTTTAAAGTCATTTTCGTGTGTTTTCAGATTTTATGGACAAAGTATGCAAGAAGATGCATTTTGGAGGCCTTTGGAGCATGTTTCGGGCTTGGAATGGATAGCAAATGCATGGGCCAAGTGGATGGACGAATTTGAGAACTAAAGAGGCCAAGAATATGAAGAATTATGGTCCAAAAGATGAAGAAAACAGCCCAAAAATCTGTCACCCCAACTTGCATTCCTTGCCATGCAAACCACATAGAATTCCCTTTGGATTCCATGCCATGCTTGATCACTCTTGTCCCCTACATAATTTCTAATTTCATGCTTCAATTCATTTAATTATTACACTCAATTGCTTGATACCTCTTGTTCCCTTCACTCATTAGATTTTAGACAACATTTACATCCATTACATGCACCAATTGATGCTCCATCATTCACATTTGGAATCCCATGCCTTGTGTACCACATGTTGCTGCACCTTTGACCCATTTATTGACACATTTTCACCTCCCTTTCCATCTCTATGCAATGTACACAATCATTCATGCTCCCTAGCTTCAAGACCACTCCATTTTACCCTTCACACTTTGCATCATCACTTCATTTTCACCCTTGGACCATTGCACACCACACACACAAATTGCCATGCATTTCATCCTTAACCTAACCTGATTTTCTAAGGTTTTTGGGGCCTATAAATACATGTTTACACCCCTTGGCAAAAGGACAATCCCCCATATTCATCATTTTATCACAGAAATTCGTCCATACACACCCTAGGAAGCAAAACACCCCAAAAACACCATTCTAGTGCCTAGAAAACATAACAGCCACTCCACCTTCTTCCACCCTCTTTGCCTAGTTCTCCACCACCTTCCAACCATCAAACACTCTTCCACACTCACCCTAAACCCCTCCATATCATTCCCCATCCATTCTACACCATAAATCCACCCAAAAATCTGTCCACAAGCTTCATGCCGCAACAAGGAGGAAGGGAGATCCATTGATGCACTTGCTTTCCAAGTTGGAGCATTTTAGGTGTTTTCTTTCCTTTGATTTTAATGTCTAATTTTATGTATCTTTGTATTGCAAGAATGAGGAACTAAACCCCCTTAGTTGGGGGGTGATTCGAAACCATGTACATGCTTGCAATATGATTTGATTACATTCAGTTGTTATTTCATAAGTTGCGGATTCAATTCGTTCATCTACTTGATTGATAAACTTATTTGTGTATGTTGATTGAGAGTGCACGCTTAGTTTTCATGCATGAATATGATGCTAGATTATGAGGGAGTTTCACCTAATAGTTACAATCTTATAATCACAAGTAGTGAAGGTCGCTTGAAAACGATCGCGTTGAATGAATTCTTGGCACTAGTTTCATGCTCATCATAGTAACGAATGCCTCGTCAACACTTATAGTTTCTCATTGTGCTTCATGATTCTTGATTGTATCTTTATTGTGCTCATCACGTAAGGAACCTTTGAGGAATGCTTTTGAATTGTTGTATGCGCTTTTCCATCCAATTCATTAACTTAAGGAGAACTTGAAGGTTAATTTAAGCGTATCTAATTAACTTGGGGTGTTGAGTTTCATAATTTATTGAAAGAACAACTGAAAATCATTTTTGTTTGCAAGTGTGTCATGTGTGGAGAAGAACCTCCTAACTAGCCTTTTATCCATCCTTTTCATCCAAAAACGTTTTTACAATCTGTTTTGTTTTAAAGTTTCTGTTTTGTTTTCAATTTTCGTCCAAAACAAATCCCCCTTTATTTTGAAGTCTTAGATTAGTTAGAAAGTGTTTTGATTTGTGTTTCTAAGTGTTTTGATTCAAGTTTTCATCCAACTTCGTCCAAGTTCTTGTTAGGTTCTCAAAACTGCCCAGAAAGTGGTTTTTAGGCAGTTTTGAGTCATTAGGTTGCTGTTTTGAGTTTTATGTTTGTTTAAGTATTTTAAAGTATAGTTTTGCATTATTTGAGTCTAGTTTAGTGTTTTAAATTTTGTTTTTATGTTTTTAAGTCAGTTTTCAAGTGTTTAGCAATCCCTCCTAATCCCCGGCCTAGAACGATCCCTACTTACATACTTTACTACAATTGATAAAAAGAGGGTTTAATTTGTGTGTTTAGTTATTTTACACATCACAAGCCTCAACCACTACTTCCTTTGAATCCAGTACATCCAACATAAGAAGTTGCTTCAACCCGCATTTATGTCTGTTTGTCCACTTATCAGTACAAAACCAGCATTCACCTTTTTTCACGTTTCCTTTGAATCTCTACCGGAGTGAGTTTCTTAATGGCTAAATTACCCGGGCAAGGTACAGTGTGAGATGCAGGAGTAACCACAAGGGTGTGAGATTTAGCTAGAAGAGAAGACTTAACCGGTGTAGATTTAAACTCAGAAAGTTTTTCATCCAATTGCATTGCAATTGCAATGGCATCATGCACAGTGACAGACCTCAAAAGCTTAACATCATATTTTAATTCCTTCTTCAATCCTCCTATGAAACAGCTTTTAAAATTTCACAAGAGCGATTAGCCAAACGGCGAAATTCAAGTACATACTCATGGAAGGTACCGGTTTGTCGAAGTTTGAAAAGATCCTCAGCACTATCGTTAAACTCTAAGGGTTCGAACTCACAACACAGAGCCTGGGAGAATTCAAGCCAGTTTGGTGTAGCATGAAGGCAGTCCATCCACTTGAACCATTACAGCACTTCCCCTTCCAAATAAAAAGAAGCGGTTAACACTCGCTGAGGATCAGAGATATTGTAGAAACTGAAGAACTGTTCCGCCTTGTAAATCCAAGCTAAGGGGTCATCACCCTTAGTGAATCGAGGAAAATCTATACGCTGCTGCTAAGGAAGATGAGGATTCAGACCACCGCTAGCCCAGATCTGAGGTCAATGGGGATGAAGCGGATCAGAATCGGGGGAAGGGGCCGGTTCAACGATAGGGGAAGCGGAACGGCCCGTACCGCTGCTCGAAAACTACAGCTCACGGTGAAACTGCTCAAAGTACACCGAAAGGTGGGCTTGGAGGTGGTCGGGAAGCTTAGCATCGAACGCAGTGTTCACCGCCTCAGTGATCAGAGTGGGAAGGGAAGCTTCCAGAGCTGAAAAACGAGCATCCATGGAGGTTTGGCGAGTATGTGGTTTGTGGCGAGGTATATACCGTAAGGAAAACCAGGAACGGATGGGTGATACCAACGTTAGACCACAAATCCTATACTGGAAATCAACCTAAGCTCAAAGGAGCTATGGCGGTAATGCGAGAGAAAGGAGAAGAAGTTTAACAGGAATGTTCTTCAATATTCAAATCTAGTCCTTACATAATGAGTAGTGAGGCATATATACCCACTAGCAAGCAATCCAGTGTGGAAATGCCAACTGTACATCTCTAACAACTTATTTAATAAACTCCCTACAATACTTAACCCTTTAACAATCAAGTCTCAGATTCTAGATCATTACAATTCAGTCCCTATTTCCTTACAATTCACCCATTTACTATAGCTACTTATTATTCTTGTGATCGAAGTGATCACAGGCCTGCAATTCATAACACCATCTCCCCCATCACGTCCTCCCCTCTTCGCCATTTCTCGCTCTTTAAGTCTGTGTTATGTGTGCCCATTTTTTTTTATTTGTTTACGTTTTGAATTCTGAGTTTTGAACTTCTGGGTTTGGATTGTTGTTGTGCTTTTTTTTATTTGGGGCAGGCCTCCGGGTGCGTTGGGATGCATTCAGTCACTACTATCACTCCACAGCGCGATGGCGGCGGCGAGGCTGACGTCATCGCTGAGCACTACATCGAGGAGTTGCCGAGCGCTCTCATAGGGTACTCTCTGCCGCACCCCTCCCGGCCTCTAATAAAACATTTTGCTTTCTTTTCTAACTGTGAGTCACTTTTTCTTTTATTACCATTGTATTAATAATTGTAATTCTTCTTCATTTTCATGTTTGCTCACTTGGGTTCTCATCAAAATTTGAGCTTTGCATTGTTGATTCTTTTTTTTTTTTTTTTTTTTTTGAATCTAGTGTCTCCGGGTCTTTGACCCGACTACTCACTAGGCCATCCGCCTGACCCCACAACATTTGGTAGGCAAGAAACTCTAGCAATTGCTAGGTGGGTACCTTGAGAGGTGTCGAACCCCAGACCTCTTGGTAACAAACCAAGGGCCTGACCATTAGACTAAACACTCTTAGGTGCATTGTTGTTTCTTATGAGTGATGCATTTGAACAGATTTGATTGATTAGTAACTCCCCTTTTGTTGCATTTTGTTGTGCGGTGGAACCCGGATAGGAAATTAACTTATAGAAGGTCCCTTGTACACTTTGGAGATGAATATGGACTAGAATAGGAGTTACACAATTTTGGGTACCCGAAACTGGGTTGTTGTGTCTTTGAAACTATGAGCACTCTCTATGTAAGATTGGCTCACCGGGTTTCCTTTAGAGCTTGTTGGGGGTGTCCTGGCTATTCAAAGAGGTTGTAGTTTTGGTAATTATAAAATTTAAGGAAATGAAAATGAGGGTGGATGTGCTTTTGATAGGGTGTGTTATCTGAATGGAATATTTGGTTCCTGCAGGCACATAATGTCCATTATGCTTGAACCTGCTAGTTAAGGCCTGCTGCGTCATTACCAAGTATTAAACTATGAATTTCCCTAAAAAACCCTAAAAATGCTTAACTATGTTTGTTTGGAGGCTTCTATTTCGTCCATCCCTTGATTTCGTCAGTTTTGATGAGTGTACCGGCAATTATCGTTGCGTTATGTGCATGCACAATCTGGTTTGATCTTTTTAGTTTCATAAATTGCAGATTAGGAGTGTCTAACGATTAATATAGGATGCTATTACGATGTAATGTTTTCCATTAGGCTGTACTGCACTTAATTTATCATACTCTGGCCATATTATGACGATATCTGTAGAGTTTGCAAGTGAGCAAGTTGAGTTAATCCATTGTCCATTGTCTTGAAAACTGTAACCAATCGGTGTAAGTGTAATGCCAATATGGAAAGAAGATGTGATTTTATGGAGATAAAAGAAAACTTAGAGTACAAACACTATGCCATTAGGTTGTTGAACTTATATCGTATACCATGTCTTAATAAATAAGCATGTTTTGTAACATAGCTGCTTCTTGTCCCAGATGGAATTGATGATACGTGAGACATGTATGCAGTATATGGAGGTGGGCCCTGCCGTTTATGCTCATTGTGTCTGACTTAAAACATTAACTAGATATACGGACATGTTGATCAGTGGTTATTGGACAATTTTCCTAGCCATATGTATTATGACAAGACGTTTTAGTGGATGCTGCAATTGAGTTTACTTTTGCTGTAGAACATCTTTGAAACGCCCACATGATCACATTTCTTTAACGTTTTTGTGGGGTCGTTCTGAACTGATTGGGTTCTTTAATTAAAGAAATTTGGAATGCAACAATCTCTGCATTATTCTCCTCTTATAGAGGGTTTCAGTTTGTGTTCCTAATTTGAGCATTTGTATTGTTTGATGATCCAGAGCTTGGTCTGTCAGTTCCGAGGTGATTCGTAGCAGAGGCTCTCTTCGTTACAAGAAGTCACCCTTCACAAGAATGGATAAGCAAACATTTTGTAGTTTTATTTATTCAAAACCCTTACTGAAGTTAAAATTGATTCGTCCTACAAGATGGGATGCTACAGCTTGGTACATAATAGTCCAATTGGCTCGTTCAATACTATGTATTTATGAATCTTTCATTTCGAATGTAAGTCCATGTCTTTACAGAAAGTACTCGCCTTCTTTCTCAAGTAAAGTTTATCATGCTTGATGTCCTTGATGCCCATTCCATAGATATTTGAAGCAAAATTCATGCAATCTAAGGTTGCATTTGTGATTTAAAGTGGATTTTTTTCACTATAATATGATGTATCTATACGAGCATTCGGGACATTTACTCTTTTGGTTGTCATTTTTCTAGAGGCAAATTTCACAACGAAGCTGTGGCCTCTCGTTGTCACTCACAATTTTTCAGAGTTTAGATTTGTTCATTTGGGTTGTGTAGTCGGAGTTTTGTCTTGATATTTCTTTTTTCTTAGCACAAACAAAAAAGAAGAGTCAAATCCTAATGTAGCAAAACTAGATACAGAGTAAGATATAGCTATGAAGCTCATTTGGAAGTGCTTTTCAATTAACTGAAAGCACTCTTGATTAAAATGTTTTTGAAACTAATTTTTAGTAAAAATGCAAGTGAATTTCAAAAGAACGCTTTAACCGCTTCTTGCAAGAAGCACATAACTAATGCTTCTTCCAAATGCACTTCAAGTGCCTTTCAAACCAAAAACACTTCCACCAAAATCACTTTTAGTTATTTTAAAAGTACTTCCAACCAACATACGTATTGCTTAACAAACAAACCAATGCAACATTTATAAGCGAGAAAAAGTTGTGCTAATTTAGTAAGCTACAAAAAGAACAAAGAAACAGATTTGTGCCGTGAAAACAAGATCGTAATCCGAATATATAGTGTGAACATATAAGAATTTGTAAAGTGTGAATGTTAAGAGTGGAATCTCACATCGAGGAAATGAGAGGTCTTGCATGTGCTTATAAGTAATTAGACTACTTCCCGAATTGCCAATTAGTTTTATGGTAAAACTCCAACTTTTTTCAGTGACGAAAAAAACATTAGTCCTTTTAACAGTTGTTCACCTTGCGTATGTTAAATAACTTACTATTTGTTGCTTGATTTTCTTGTTGTTCCTTTTGTTTCAGCATACTCGCATCTTTCTGTAATGACCTACAGATGGCAGAATTGCTGCTGATTCAAAGCTGAGGGTGGATTGTTCAAGACCGAATTCGCCATACAAAAACATACAATACCAGTACAATATATAATATGCGCAGCTAATGTTGTACCATTCGTTAATGTTATTTTGTCAACATATGTGGTGTTTTTATGTTAACTTACTCTTCGACCAACTTTTTAAACTTAAGGTATCATCATAACAAATTGAGAAACTCTAAACCTTAAACCCTAGTCACCTTATAAAAATTAGTATCTCAATTATTTATTTCTATCTTCTGCTATTGCTTAATCATCATCAATGATTGTCAACAGTGAAAAAAATTTATAAGTATCAATTCAAATGAAGCACTAATGCTTTGACAAGAAACTGCCACTAGCTAATGCAGTGTAAAAATAAAAATAAGAGAAAATTGTAGCAATGGTTCTTTAATTCTAAAGGAAAACTAATGAAAATGGCTTGAAAACTTTGAGTTTTAATGATAATGACAAAATAAAGGGTAAAGTGAATAGTACCAGGATTGACTTTTTAGTGTAAAAATGTGGTTTTTCGTTAAAATGAACAGTACCGTGAGCTTTTCGTTAAAACTCTCTAATTCTAACCCAATTAGAGCAATGATTCTTCAACTAAAGATTCATGGCCAGTAGTCTTTTAACTCATCAAAATATGCGGCTATGGTTCTTTTCGTTAACTCCATCAGAATTTCATCAAGATGACTCATGTTGCAAGGACCATTGCTACAATTGGGTTGCAGTTGAGAGACCATTGCTCCAATTTGGTTAAAGTTGAGGGACCATTTCTCTAATTAGGTTAAAGTTGGGGGACTATCGTTACAATTTTTTTTTCATTTGGTTTTCTATATTTGCCCCTTGATTCAGCCTCACGTGCGTGACACATGAATTATTTTGACAGAAGTTTTAACAGAGTTGACAGAAAAGACCATAGCTACATGTATGTTGACATGAGTTAAGGGATCAATGATCATTAATTTTTAGTTAAAGAACCTTTGCTCTAATTGAGTTAAAATTAAGGAACTATTACTATAATTTCCTTTACAAATAATAATAATGAACGCTAATGTCAGTTTCATTCTCATGAATGAGAAGTTTTTCAACCAAAAGGAAAACAATTTGGTTGTTGATTAACCATCAATTTATGTTTTCGATACAATTTACTGCAAGCAACTCACTTTGTATATTTGACATGGGAGCTGCTACAGTTCGAATTTGCTTCTAGGATTGCTACTTATGTTGGAGACAATTTTATCCTGAGTAGCATAGCAAATGGAGTTTGCTACCACCTTTGCTACGTCCATTGGAAAATCTCTTTGGACATATTGATTGTTTTTTTGCACAAGATCTCAGCTCCATTGAAGTTATGAAACCAAGTTATTATTTATATTAATCTTTACTTGGATATATAATTAATATTAATCTCATGCAAAAAGTAAATTGGAATTTTTGAGTTTGACAAAAAAATTTAAAAATGCATCTAGATTATGTAAGTGCTTTTAGGAACAACACTTTCTAGATTGAATGAAAAGTGTCTTTTTCGAAAGCAATCTTAAACAAGTCATGGTCATTACTTCCCATCATCATTAATGTCATAACAATAAAATACTTAAACCCACAAATTAATTTCTCATAACGTAAACATCCAATGAATAAGTTAATAATTTTTTTTTGTTAAACAGTAGATTTTGTTAGATTAGATGTTAAATTAGCAACCGATGAGATTCGAAACCCTAAAATAAATAGGTGTATTAAAGACATAATGAAACCACCAAGTAATTGTAAATCATAAATATGTGAGTGATTCTTCCATTTTGGTTTCAAGATGATTTTATGCGGATCATTTACCTTTACATTCACATTCGGATATGTCCTTTACCTGTGATGTTATTGAGGATATCGTCTACCTCATCAAGAAGAGGCAAGAAAGATAAGTAGTTGACAGAATTGAGACGTTTGTCGTCAGAGAAGCCCTATGGCAACAAAACTCTACCAAGCACAACCCAAGTCGACAAAATCATATCGTTGTATAAGGACTTTGGCATGGCTCATACTATGCCGGGAAAGAGTTTGGTTCAAACGAAATGATTTGTCGCCAAAGAGGTTAGTTTTTGTTTTCAGTATACAATACAATTTAAAGTCTTGATTTCTATCAACTTGATTAGGTTATAAACTGGCGGTCTCACGTTCATACCAAAAATGGCGAGCTCAATGCCTAATAATGATAATTGGTTCATTGTTTACTTAACTCAAATCCCCAAGCCTCAAATATAGTTGTATTAAAAAAAAAAGTAGCACTACCAACATTTACATAAACAAAATACAATTATATACAACTCAATCATCCTTTTGTACTAATTGTTCAATACACAGAAAAACCAAAAAAAATTGGAACCTATAGCATTCTTTGGACTAAATATCCCTTCATTCTTGCAGCCATCAAGAATATTATAAAACATTTGAAGTTAATTCCAATGGCAATTTATATAGATATCACTTTGTTAAAAGAAAATAAAAAAATCCGCTGCTACTATAGTCTAGTGCCCTTTTTTTTTTATTTGTAAAATGAGAGGTCTTGAATTTATCCTCCAATATTATGGTTGTCCTATTGTGTAGTTTAACCTATTTTAACAGATAAAATGTTATACCAAAGTCATGTACTTCATAATTCCACATTCTCACCTTTGAGTGAATTTATTTGAAAAATGCTATGGACACTACATTTGTTACACTATATTGTATCGCCTCACTAATAAAAGTAGAATTTACTTATATTGGTGAACCATATCTTTATTAAAGAAGTGGTAAAATATGTTCTACCATCTCCATTGTACCATATTGTCAAAAGGTGGTTTATTTTTAACACTTCCTTTTGTCTAGCCGCACAAAATCCTTGTGGAGTGTAGATTAAGGTATCGAATCAAGCGCTGTTCGACCACCAAGTCCTTCATTTTCAGAGTGAGAATTTAGCGAGTCAAATCTAATATTTTAAAAAAGAATAAGAAGCAACAATCTGGGCACGTAACTAAACCTATCAAATAAAGGAGATGAAAACAAGAGAGATTTCGAAAAGGGGAAGCACTTAACCTTTTATTGGATAATACTTGCATCCCCTAATGTGGGGATGCATGTATCCCCTTATTTGCAAATAATGTATCTTGATCGAATAAATTCAACAATTGAAACCGTTCAATTGATTAATTTTCATTTGAAGATCACTCTTGGAAAAAATCATTCAAATTGAGGATCGTTTAATCATCCAAACGTATCAAACAAATGGACGGTTTATCATGAACATATTACTTGGTATCTACACCGTTGATTTGATTTAAATATTTGAATAACTAAATGATCTCAATTGAAATGATTTTTTGTAGGGTGATTTTCAAATGAAGATTAAAAAATTAAATAGTTTCAATTATGAAATTTGTATTGTGAAAGGCATTATTCACAAGAGGGAATGAACTCATTCTACAAGGGAATGCAAGTATTATGTTTTTTTATGGTTTTTTTATTAGCACCCCACTAAGTGTCGAATAAACCCCACATAATATTTTATTACTAAATAACTTATATACCCTAATATGCAATTACTATTTAGGCCATATATGTATTAAAAAACAAAAATGATATGTATTCTAAGATTGTTTTCTTTTAGGTTCTTGAAGATACCCTCACCTCCATTATAAAACAAAACCCTAACTAAAAGCACAACATAGTTAACGAAAAAAAGAGGTTAATTTTGACCAATGAAACTTGAAATCAATGTTTTGGAGGCTTCGACGTCGTTCGTAGCTCTGTCACTTGGGTATTGACTACAACATCTGTATCATTTGTAACTTCGACATTGATTCCAACATCTATATCATCTGTAAGTTTGAAACTAAAGTGTCATCTCCAACTTTTGTATTATTAGAATTTAAAAAATAATGCATGTGCTTATATATTTCTTCATAAATACATCTCTTGACATACAGTTTCATTTTCATGAAAATCATTTAAAATCTCTAATTGATA